ATTATTTTAATACTGATATTTTTATGACAGTTTATAATTTCCGCAGTGCTTTTACACTTACTACCATATGTGATTCCGCAATAACCCTGTCCTGAAGGCAAGTGTTTTTATATTTGAAAAATCAGAGGCTCAGTAGGGCCAAATGACTTGTCTAAGGGCCACAGGCAGTGAACAGAAGATCTAATCCTAGAACCCTGGTCTCTGACTCCTAGTCCAGTGCTCTTTCCATTATAGACTGTCCACATCCTCCACCATGTTTTACCCTCAGCAATGCACCAGAATAATGTGCATTTGGTAACGAGCTGATGTCTATTCTCTTTAATGTCAATTTTACTTACCATATAAGGCTTTTTCGAGCCCTTGGTCTAAACTTTCACACTGATGAATTTATTAGAAGTAATCATATTCTGCCTTCAGAATAGTATTTTACTTGCATAATTCATTTGGTAATCAAGTTTGTATCTAAAAATCAAGTTTATAATCATACATTTTAACTTTGAACACTTCTACTTTTTCAAAGAATCTCACTGGTACAAGTTTTTCAAAAGTTTTCTGCTACTATTATGAAATAATAGTCAAAAAAGCATAAATATGTCAACTGTTTTAAAAATATTTTCTAAGCCTATTTCTTTAAAGAGGAATATGCTTTTAAGGTCAATAAAAGCTTTGAGTCTAGAACAATTTCCTTACAAGAGTGGAAAAGTCTCATAAAAAAGCTGACTGAATAAAAATAACCCACAAGGAGGACAGAAAAATAAACAGTAGAATGTTTAAGCTAAAAAGTTCTCAGTGTCAAAGTAGGCTAAGTCTGTCTTAAAACTTTTTCCTTCTACATTTTACTATGAAAAATTTCAAACATATAGAAAGTTTGAAAGAATTGTATCCACTACCTAGATCCTACAGTTGTGAACAGTTTGCTGTATTTGCCTTATCACATGTCTATCCATTTATCTCTGTATCCCCAATTCTACTTATTTTTCATTGATTTCAAAGTAAATGGCAGAGTGGCCAACTTTAATACACTTTACCCTTAAACACTTCAGCAAAGACTGAAATACTTCTTTCTCTCTCTCAGGTAAAATTTACATAGAGTGAAATACACAAATCTTAAGTGTACCATTTAATGAGTTTTGATACACCCATGTTTTGCCTGTAGTTATTTCAATAAAGATTTGTGTATTTCTTAAATTATATGCATGGCTATGAAACCCAGTTTCACTGAGCAAATCCAGCATCTGAATGTAGTCTAGCTTCTCCTGAAGAGTAATCAATGACCTCTCTTTCCTGTATCAGTGATCCACTAACACACTGTATCACTATGCACACATTCTTATCCACTCAAGTAAAGCCCATCATTGCAAGCACAGTATCATTTTTTAAAAAAAATCTGCTTACTAAGGTATACTTTATTAAGTTAAAATTCACCAATTTAAGTGTTCATTGTCATCACTCTGGAAAAGTTCTTTCTTATCCCTCTGCAGTCAATCTCTTCCCCCCAACCTCGTCCCCTGGTCAACAGCTTTTATTCCCACTGCACAAAGCAAGTTCTGGTTATCAATCAAATTATAACCAGTAGTGAATCCTGTAATGGAAACTGTATTTTGAACTTAAGCATTGAATATATCAAATTCAAGTTATGAAAACTTATGTATGGTGATAAATGCTTTAGATTCTTTATGTATACATTATAGACACCTCAAAATTTATTAAAGGAAGTAAATTCTGCATATATATTCTGTCAGAATACAGATGCTATAATTCTAATGCCATTATGTTTATTAAAATAGTCTATGCTTCCAAGTGGCAACATCTTTGAGCACAAATTTTTCAGAGTACTTCAATAACATTTCACTGGCTGTCAAGTGCTCATTTGTGTAAAGCTTTACAACTAAGGAAAAGCACTGTTGATATATCCAAGATGCTTATTCCCAAATGACATGACAGGTCTGCTAATGAGAGAGAGAGAGAGAGAGAGAGACAGACAGACAGACAGACAGACATGGAGGGTAGGTGTGCAGGGTGAAGTGCTAAGATGGGAAGACTCTTATATTTTAATAATCATTAACTTGTACATGGTGGGCAGCCTCTAAGATGGCCTCCAATGACCTGGCCTCCTGGTATTCCCGCCCTTGTGTAATCAATCTCCTCTCCTGGAGTGTGGGCTAGACTTATTGACTCACTTTTTTTTTTTTTTTTTTTTTAAGACAGAGTCTTGCTCTGTCACTCCAGGTAGAGTGTGGTAGCATCATCATAGCTCACTGCAACCTCCAACTCCTGGGCTCCAGAGATCCTCCTGCCTCAGCCTCCTGAGTAGCTGGGACTACAGGCACATGCCATGATGCCTGGCTAACTTTTTCTATTTTTAGTATAGATGGGGTCTCGCTCTTGCTCAGGCTGGTCTCCAACTCCTGAGCTCAAGCAATCCTCTAGCCTCATCCTCCCAGAGTGCCAAGATTATAGGCGTGAGCCACCCCACCAAGCTGACTCACTTCTAATGAACAGAATAGGGCAGAAGTGATAGAATATCACTCCCGAGATTAGATTATAAAGACTGTCTTCTGTCTTGGGTGCACTCTCTCACTTTTGCCCTCTCTTTGATCATTCATACTGGGGAAATAAGCTGCCAGGCTGTGAACAGCCCTGTGAAGAGGACCACAGCCAGTGAAGACCCTAAGCCTATCGACAACGATGTGAGTAAGCTTGGAAGGGGATTCCCCCTGCAGTGGTGCCTTCAGGTGAGATGGCAGCTCTGGATTGCAATCTCATGGAAGATCTTGAGCCAGAGGCACTCGGCTAAGCTACGCCTAGATTCCTGACCCACAAAAACTTTGAGATGATAAATGCTGCTTTGAGATAATTCACTACACGGTAATAGGTAACTAATATGAGATTTTTACATTCAATCAGCTGCAATTTGAGCTACAAATAACTAGTGTAAAAAAAGTGACAAATGAATTCAATCATTAATGTTAGGTTTATTCCAGGTGGGAACTGGAAAAGTATGTACAGGATGGAATGTGGTTAATGGAAAACTGAGGTTTGTGAAAAAATAGCTGCAGGAGTCTGGAGAGTCCCCGGAGGTTGTAAAATCTATCATCCCTTATCTCTACAGGATGAGACTGACTCAGGGGTCCCAGAAATTGGTTGTTTAAAAAATTTTTTTTATTACAGCAGCTGTTCTGGCCCAGGTACTCACTACCCGCTAAGAAACGCTCTATAAAACCCAATGCTTTCCCCTCCCTCAGTGTGGACGCTTTTTTGCCTCCACCCATCTGCACCCAGATGCTCAAAATAAACAGCATTTTGCTACACGTGAGGCTTTGTGTGTCCCTCTCTCGTCTCTGGACCTAACAATTAATACCCAGATTTTCT